CTACTTCATGATCCATTGCTTCCCTATCTCAGGTCCCTGTATCTAGAAGGTTCACATGGCCCCATTTTGTATTCAGCACTCAGGTGGAAGAAGCCACCAACATCAGCCATGGAGACAAGTCCTGTCATATTCGCATCTGACTCACCTCTAAGTGACTCGCCTCCCCAGGGTTCTGTCTCCCTACAGTTGCCCTTCAGAAATGTCTGAGGGAGGAGGCACCATCGGACTGGAGAAGAACTATCAACTTCTACAGCTTTGATTTTTCTCTCCTCCCTCCCCCCGGCCCCCGCCTCCAAATTATATAATTTTTAAAAGCGCACTGAGGCAGGATGTGTGTTTACTTTTGAGAAGTAAAAATGTTAACATTTAAACTGAAAGCCTGTTTCAGTTTTAAGGTACTTAATTGCCTTACAGCGTATAATAAACCGAGCCCATCTTGTCATTCAACTAATGGAGGGAGTGATAAAGAGATAGGAGCCTGGGACCCTATTCATTCCAGTCTCCCTTTGTACTGGGTTTACTTTGGCACGGTGCCTCGTGTGTATTTTACACTTCTTTACATTTTGTACATCCCTGTATGACAAATACTTGTCAAACAGAAACTAAACAGATTTATAACCCCTTAACTTGAAATGAGCCAAAATTGAACTGCCAAAACTTTATGACTTCATTTTCTTTCATAGTTTTCCACTACATTGGTTCAAACAGACAAACCCCACCGGAGGTCAAGCAGAGGTCATTTCACTTTCATTACTAAAATATAATTTACAATATGCCAGACCTAAACAAGTTTAGCCTAAGGGGTTTGTATAATGTAAACCATCTGTTCCCCAACAATACAGCTAATTTCCTGCCGTTACCGTACATCCACTGGCTGCTTCTTTAAGGGCTTTTTATGATTTTTTAACTAGTTCAGGATTTATGTGAAATTTGAAAATGAGTCTGTAGTTAAGACTCATTTGTACCAAGTAACTTGAGCATTTAAAAAATGCAAATCACTGTGTAAATTATTCCCCTGGAACCCTGCCCCGCACCAGCTTTCTCTGGGCACGTCCATGCTGGCTGCAGCACAGGTGTTTGCAGGGAAGATTTTGTGAAATCTGCCATGTTCGGTGCTTTCTATGCTTCTTTCCAAAGCACTCCCGCAAATGTGGCTCTGACCAGCTCCAGCAAACCCCTCCCCCTCCCTGTTTGAGGCTGGAGCAGAGCTGACACCCTGTGCTCGGTGACCCACAGGTACTGGTCAGAGATGGCAAGACACACTCTGGGTTGAAATGAACTCTTGTGTGTGTCTGAACAGGGAGGCGGGACCGCTTTCACTCCACTGTGTGGCCACACACTGAAGGCTGGCCTCACAGCCCCGAAGGTGTCAGGCCCCAGGCGGAGCCTTCAGAGACAGGCCAAGGCCCGCGGGGATTCTGTCTCTGGTGTCAGACAGAATGGCAGGGCCCAAAGCAGAAGGCTTTGCATACTGGAGTGCAGCTTTTTTGGGTTCTGCAAAGTCTCAATACTCGTGAAAGCCTCTTTCTTCACCTGTAAATGGCTCATTTGCCACCTGGGTGTAGGGGACTGTGGGCAGGCTTCTTCCTCATGAATCCCCAGGGGCCACGTGTCTGGCTGGTGCCAATTTGTATGAGTCCCAAGTCACGTGGGTTGAATTACATCACACTGCTTACAGGTTCACTTCAGCAGGGGCAGTCTACTCTTCCTTGGCTTTAGTTCCAAATTCCCATTTTCCCTCAGAAGACGTGTATTACTCAGTCCCTTGTTCTTCTCTATCACCAAAAGCCAGAAGATCCTGTTTGCATATAAAAAAGGAACACCTTCTATGCCATTCAAGGGACCTTCCCTTAAATTGGATTCAGTTGCATCATTAGGAAACATTCTGATGGAAATCTCAATCTTAATGTCCTGCAGGAAAAAAATAAATCACTTTGGCTTAGTTTTGTCACAAAAGCAAAATCATCTGAGTGCAGCAAGAGAAAAAAGTAGGGTTGGTTCAGTGGGTTCCTTTTCCCATCAGCCAAATGCTGTTCCTCCAACGGAACTCCATAGCACTCACAAGAATCCAGGCTGTATAAGCAAAATGGAAAATAGTGGGTGAGCCTGTGATTGCAGAAGAAATTATTTGATTCAATCTGATGGAAAGATTGGTCATAATTACATACTTTTTGAATTGGTAATATATTTGCCTGGTTTAAAACTTAAAAATAATAAAAAGGCATGAAGTAAAAAAAAAAAAAAAAAAACCTTCCACCTCTGTCCCCTCCTCCTAGTTCTCACCTCTGTGCCCTCCCAGTAGCCACTGTTGTTTCCTGAGCATCATTTCTTTATGCAAAGAAACATGAATATATTCTTTATCTTCTCTTCTCACAAAAGCAGAATACAGTATTACTATGTGGTTTTTTGTTTTGTTTTGTTTTTACTTTTTATTTTAAAATATGTTTTATTTTATTTCAGAAAGAGGAAAGAAGAGGGAGATGGAGAAACATCAATTGGCTGCCTCTTGCACGCCCCCTACTGGGGATTAAGCCAGTAACCCAGGCATCTGCCCTGACGGGGAATCCAATTAGCAACCTCTTGTCCATGTGACAGCCCTCAACCAACTGAGCAACACTGGCTGGGTTTTGCTTTTATTTTTAACTCAGCAATAGGATTTTAGAGATCTCTCTATATCAGTACATAGAAAGAGTCCTAATTTGTCCTATATAATATTTTGTTTATTGGCTCCACCATAATCAATTGGATTTCTCTTCTAGGTAAACATTGAAGTTGTTTTAACCTTTTGCCATTACAAACAATACTATAATGAACAAATAGATTAATAAGCTTTAATTTACTGAATATCTAAGCAATGCATTACCATTAGTTTCAGCAGAACTAACTTTCGTATTAGACATTTTCAAATACAAATCCCATAAACTCTGCTTGAACAAATAAATGAGACCTATTTATAATAATACTAGAGGCCCTATGCACGAAATCTATGCAAGAGTAGGCCTTCCTTCCCCCGGCTGCCAGCACCGACTTTCCTCTGGCCCCCGGTTTCCCTCGAAGCCCCAGTTTCATCCGGAAGGTCATCTGACAGGACATCTGGCAGGACGTCTGGTCTAATTAGCATATTATGCTTTTATTATTATAGATTTGCAGAGAAGAATTAATGTTTTGAAACCCTCAATTCCATTTTGTCCTTCTAACTGGGTGTTTTACTGGAAGTCTATTTACACTTATAATTAGGTTAGAGGGCATTTTTTGCCCTGGAAAATGTCAGCCTAGAACAGAGCCAATCAGCATGAATTCTAAATTAGTAGAATTTGGATTAGAGAAGGTTTCTTTTTTTACTTAATTTTCCAAACTGTTGTTTTAAACTCCGTGTGGAGAGCTCTGCATTCCAGATGGATTTGCAGCATTGTCAGCTCCAATTGGGATCCTCAGAGCAGCATTCTTTTCCCCAAAAATAAAGATTTAAGGTACAGGGATTATTTCAAAAATCCGTTTATGTACAAATGCATTGCTTTTATGACTTCTTCCCTAACAAATTAGAATAAATGTCAGGCTAGATTTTAGGTGAATTTTTAAAAATAGGGAAAACACAGGACCCAGTAGACATTTACTGCCAAGATCAAATGTCACTGTTTAATACTTATTTTTATTGTGAGGCACATGCTTTCCCCGTCTGTGTTAAGGGCAGTCAGTCAACAGCCCACTTGCAAAGCCATAGGAATATCAATTGGTATGAAGAGAAATGCAAGACATTGAAATCTGATTAAGACAAAACAGCAAGGTAATAATAGTCAAAGTTAAGTAGTGTTTACCACATGTCAGACAGCATGCTGAGTACTTTACAAACGTTAACATTAAATTAAAAGTTCGAAAGAATCCTACAAGATAAGTAAATTGTACCAAGTATTATCATCTAATTTTACAGACAAAGGAATTGAGGTATGAGGCAGTTCAGTATTTTACCCGGGGGGACACAGCTGGTAAGTGGAGAATGCAGGATTCAAATCTGATTGGCTGGCGGTAGAGGTCATGCATGTAACCAGCCACCACCCTGCTCCTTGCACATAGGGGCATTCAGACCATAAAGCCAAAGGACTCCAGAGGCCAAGACCGTAGTGGTCAAGGAGCACTTCAGAGGAGGCAAAGCTTCGATAAGCAGAGGGGAGCACATTCCAAGCCTCCCCACCTCTATTGTGAGCACCGCGGGACAGTCATGGTGGTTTAGGGTAGACAGCAAGGAAACCTATTTAACTGCAGTGATGCTGTCACAGAGAGGAGTAGCAAAGGTAGGCAGGTGAGGGCCAAATCACAGACACTCCCAGTGCCAGGCTAAGCATTACGGCTGTATCGTCTGCAGCAGTGCTTCTTGCGCTCTGGTGTTCACTGACATGCGTGGGGCCTGGGAAAGCACATTCTCATTCAGTAGGTCAGAGCTGGGCCCCGGAGTCCTCATGTATAGGAAGCTTCCAGTGATGCTGGTGTTGCTGTCCCAAGACCACAGGTGGAGTGACAAGTCGCTAGGCAACAGCAGGGAACCATTGTTGGAGCAAGGGGTGAAGAAGGGTGAGTTGGGAATGATGGACAGAAAGCTGCCAATGACAGCTCCCCTAGGTTACAACCAACCATTTAAAATGTATAGGCCTACAATGATTTAATCTAATTTATAGAACTTTTCTCTCTATGTTCCACCCACTCTTTCCAGGTGCCAAGAAGGTGCCTTAAGACGTGTTTTAGCCTGCTGGTGTGGCTCAGTGGATTGAGCATTGTCCCATGGACCAAGAGGTCCTGGATTTGATTCCCAGTCATAGCACATGCCGGGTTGTGGGCTCAATCCCCAGTAGGGGGTGTGCAGGAGGCAGCCGATCAATGTGTCTCTCTCATCATTGATGTTTCTATCTCTCTCTCCATCTCCCTTCCTTTCTGTCTAAAAATCGTTTTAAAAAATATTTTTTAAAAAAAAGATGTTTTAAACCACACTTTTCCTTTCTTTCATGCAGAGCAAGGCTAAGGAACTGCCACTTTCTGCTGTACGTTTTATGGAAGAATTGGGCGAATGTGCCTTTGGAAAGATCTATAAGGGCCATCTCTATCTCCCAGGCATGGACCATGCTCAGTTGGTTGCTATAAAGACCTTAAAAGACTATAACAACCCCCAGCAATGGACAGACTTTCAGCAGGAGGCCTCCCTGATGGCCGAACTCCACCACCCCAATATTGTCTGCCTTCTAGGTGCTGTCACTCAGGAGCAACCTGTGTGCATGCTTTTCGAGTATATGAATCAGGGGGATCTCCACGAGTTCCTCATCATGCGGTCCCCACATTCTGATGTTGGCTGTAGCAGCGATGAAGACGGGACGGTGAAATCCAGCCTGGATCACGGAGATTTTCTGCACATCGCCATTCAGATCGCAGCCGGCATGGAATATCTGTCCAGTCATTTCTTTGTCCACAAGGACCTCGCAGCTCGCAATATTTTAATCGGAGAGCAGCTTCACGTAAAGATTTCAGACCTCGGGCTTTCCAGAGAGATATACTCCGCTGATTACTACAGGGTGCAGAGCAAATCTTTGCTACCCATTCGCTGGATGCCCCCCGAAGCCATCCTGTATGGCAAATTCTCTTCCGATTCCGATATCTGGTCTTTTGGGGTCGTCTTGTGGGAGATTTTCAGCTTTGGACTCCAGCCCTATTATGGATTTAGTAACCAGGAAGTGATCGAAATGGTGAGAAAACGTCAGCTGTTACCCTGCTCCGAAGACTGCCCACCCAGAATGTACAGCCTCATGACAGAATGCTGGAATGAGATTCCTTCTAGGAGACCAAGATTTAAAGATATTCACGTCCGGCTTCGGTCCTGGGAGGGACTCTCCAGTCACACCAGCTCCACGACTCCTTCGGGAGGAAATGCCACCACGCAGACCACCTCCCTTAGTGCCAGCCCAGTGAGTAATCTCAGTAACCCCAGATATCCCAATTATATGTTCCCAGGCCAGGGTATTACACCACAGGGCCAGATTGCTGGTTTCATTGGCCCACCAATACCTCAGAACCAGAGATTCATCCCCATCAATGGATACCCAATACCTCCTGGATATGCAGCGTTTCCAGCTGCCCACTTCCAGCCAGCAGGCCCTCCCAGAGTGATTCAGCACTGCCCACCCCCCAAGAGCCGGTCCCCAAGCAGTGCCAGTGGATCAACGAGCACGGGCCATGTGACCAGCTTGCCCTCATCAGGATCCAATCAGGAAGCCAATATTCCTTTACTACCCCACATGTCAATTCCAAATCATCCCGGTGGAATGGGTATCACCGTTTTTGGCAACAAATCTCAAAAACCCTACAAAATAGACTCTAAGCAACCATCTTTGCTAGGAGACTCCAATATTCACGGACACACCGAATCTATGATTTCTGCAGAATTATGAAATGCACAACTTGTTGTAAATGTGGTACACAGGAGAAACTAGAAAGTCGCAGAAAAGATTTATATTCAAATGTTTTGTTTGTTTTTTAATTAAAGTAAGGTTCTCAATTCAGCAGATATTGCAACAAGTACCTTCTGTGAAGTTTAAGTTGTGTCTTACCAAGCAGGGCAGACACCAGCCGGAAAGAAACGTTGTGGGATGAAGGCCTCATCAGGATGTGTGTCATGACATTGGGATTTGTTCCACGTACTGAAACCTGCAAACTAGCGAAGAGGGAAAGACCCTTGCGATTAAGCATCAAACCAAAAAGGAAAGTCAAATGGTGCTTTGTGTATTTCACTTTCAGTCACCATGACTGGTCTTTCCCCAAAATGTATATACCGTAGCATTTGTCTACCTGCTGTCTTTTCTTCAGGACCTATGTTCAGGAATTATGTTGGTTCAGTTTAAACTCTGTGCATCTTTTTTATGGAAGTGATGTTCAGAATCAATGAGGAAGCCTTAGGCCAAATCTGAAATCCCAGACGGAAATGAGCCATAAGACAAGTGTAAGTTCCCCGGAAGCCTTCTACGCAGCGGGGCTTCTTGGGGAAGGTGCAGAGAGTGTGGCTCTTTGTGAATCTCCTCTGCTGATCATGAAGGCCTTTTCTACATTTTCTTTTTCCACAGTTTACACAGCCCTTGAAATGATATATGGCATCCAACGATAAGAAGGCTAGATGTGGATGTTGGAATTGATTATTGGTTGATAGTGATAGTTTATTTTGTTGCATTAGAAATGAGGCACCAAAGGAAGCAGGCAGAAAAATTGCCCCTTGACCTAGATCAGCATCCATGGGAGAGGAACAAGGGTTCCCATAGGGACAGCCTTGTGGGAGTTTCCCTGGACCAATACATTGACAAATAGAGGTGTGGCTGCAGATCAGCACATCAACGCTTGCAACTTCCCGTCTTTGAGTTGTTCAGTGGACTCTGGAGAAGTAGGAAACTCTAGGATACAATATCTAGATAATTTAAAGTTTCTCACTTTTATTATTTTTTCCTGATCTGGAAGTAGTCACATTTTTTATCTCAGCACCAAGAGTTGCAACAATTTATTCATAGGATTAGTTGGCATACAAATATTATGAATTCTATTTTGTAAAATATTACAGTTTTTTTTTTTAAAAGCAAGTACTGAGTTCTCACTTCAAAGATACCATGAACTGAATTTTTTAAACTAATAGGAGCAACATGGTTATTTTTTTGCCTTAGTTAGAGGGCGGTATCCAATGTGCATCTCATGCCTTTACCTGCTAGCCATCTTTTGCCATGTTTAGAATTCCTATAGATGGGTTTCAAGTTCTATGTAGAAAGGAATGTTATGGTTGATTTTTCTCTTGTTAAAAAATAGCTCCTTTATTCTAAGAACAATGTCTCAAAGTCTTTTTTTATTTTATTTTACAGCTAAAGAGACTCTTAAAGAGACTTTCCAGATATAGAGTAATTCCTGGAAAAGATACCGTATTTTCTGGCATATAAGATGACCTTTGAAATGAAAAAAAGCCTGCTCAGATTGGCCAGAGTCAGAGAGGCGGTCTATTAAAAAAAGAACTGGTGTTGCCTCGGAAGTGGGGGGTAGTCTTATACAGCGAATATAGGCCTAACCCTATGTTTTAACTATAAAATTAGGGGGTAGTCTTATACGCTGGAAAATACGGTATCTGGTGAGGAGAATGTAAGAGAATTAGAAGCACATTTATGTTCAATTTTTTTTTTTTAAATACTATTACAATGAGAAATCTAGGAAATATGTTTACCAGGATATGTTGCAGTTTTTCCAAACACTGAATCTTCAAATAAACAAACATGGACTTATAGGTACTGTGAACTTAAACAATTGGCTATCTCCAAATTTATTCAGAGTTAAATTAAGACATATTTTTGTGGCATAAATAAGCTGACTCAGAAGTTACATTTCTTAACTTTAGGTAGAGGAGAATATTTGTATCCTTTTGTTGCTATGCAACTGTTTAATGATGAAGATTCAAACCACAATTTTGTATATCATACGACAATCAATTGTTTTCCAAGAATATTTATTTTAAGTAAATACAATTTCAGTGAATCTTGAGTTTTTCTAGGAGTCCCTTAAAGGGAAATTAGCATTCCATGAGCCAGTAAAATGCCTAACCTGGAAAAACATTGCTATGGTAAAAAATAATAATAATAATTCAAGTTAGTTTTTTATAAAGAACTATAACATTTATTTTAAACATTTTATAATTACTGAAGTCATTAGGGTGAGCAAACTAAATTTCAAAACCACTTGTAATAATGTATTTTATAATAGCACTGTGATACTACATAACACAGTCCCTTTTGTATTAAAATAGTATTTTTTCACAAACTGAAAAATATCTTGCTTTGTTGACAATGTTTTTTTGTAAAATGACTTTATTTTCAGATCTTTTCTTTTTTTGCACAAAACTTGTTTATGGTTTGTATCACAGAAGTGAAAATATATCTTTGCATTTTTATATCTGATCTGTTTCCTTGTTTCCTTTTTTGTATTTGTTTTTAACTCAATAATAGATTTCCTTCAAATATATAGTGACAATATTCAGATTTCTCGCCCTACCGTATCTTTTCTTATTTTCACTGCATGCATTTAATCACTGTATTACTTTAATCTTTGATTTGTTATTATGGGCATTTAAAATAGACAAGCATGGAATTGTAATGACAAAAAGACTATTTTATATTGAGGATATATGCATTTGTATTTCACACACCAGAGATGATATTAAACACTGATTATTTTATGCTGCTGTTTATTAAAAATGTTTACCATAAAATATTATTTCCTGAATATTGCTATCATGGAAGTATTTGGGAATTTTCACACTATTTCTCCAATTAATTGATATTTCATAGAAAGCAGAATCTTATTTCCTTTTTATAGTGTTTCAATGAAATAATATTTTTCAAAACAGGCTCTTATAAAATATACTTGGGCATTCTTTTGCTAGTGACCATAGGTGGAGGGGAAATCCCAATGGTTTCATGAGCATATATTATTCCACCTACATATGGCAAAATTTTAATTTTTAAAATAAAAATAATATATTAAACAATTGCAACCAATGGAATGTAAAAATTGGATTTAAAAGTTGCATTCTTTTCTGCCTTGATGCTTGCAGATGAAGTTAGATTTCAACAATCATGTCTTAGGACTCTGGAGAAGAAAAAGCTGTGTACGTCTCTGTTCCACTTAGATTCTAACCCTATTGATAAAATAAAATAAATGTGACCGTGCAATTGCCACAGATTACCTTTATGACTTTATTTGCCCAAAAGAAAAAATTTCCCATCTGGCCATGAATACACACTGTCAAGGAAAATGAGTATCATTATGAAAGTTCAAAGAACTTGTCCATTTCTTCTCTTTAATACAGAAGGAACTACAATAAAACCTTCAGGGCCTTATCCATCTGTTTTAGGTACAGCTCCTGTCACCACTTCAGCGATCAAACTCAACAAAGCAATCACTCACATGGCAGTGAGATCCAAGTCAGGTTGGATTTCTGCCTCTCACTTGAACCCCTCAATCTGCCTTTCTCTCCTATTGCCTTCTTATGTCGAGGCTCTTCCCTCCCACCAGCTTCAATCCTTCAACTCATCTGCAAGCTCGCAGCACCACCTCAGATAAGGCCTACTGCAAGTCACTAAATACTGATTTGAGAGGAGCTCCATTAACTACAAACCTTCAAAGTTTGTAGCACTATGAACTACAAACCTTAACTATCCCCTAGGTTCTCAAAGTGTGGTCCTCAGATGAGCAGACCTTGGAGCTTGTTAGCAATGCCGATTCTCAGGCTCCACTTCAAAGTACTGAATCAGAAATTTTGGGGACCTAGCAATTTGTGTTTTAGCAAGCCCTCTAGTATTGAGAATCACAGAACCACCCTAATTTAAAGGCATAGGAATATATATATATATATATATATATATATATATATATATATGCACTTAATAACATTTTAGCCACTTTAGTTACCTTAAAAAGAAATCAAGTTTATTTAATCACAAATGCAGCACTAAAAACTTTGTGTCAACTGTTTGACAATTGGTTCTGTATTTTTTGCAGTTGGTCATTTGGATAGAAAATTAACAGCACCTAATCTTTGTCCAGAATATATTCCTTGTCCAGTTCACTTAAGACCCACTTTCTTGGATTAGTCACCAAAATATTTTGCCTTCATATGGACAAGTTCAAAAGTGTTGGTTTCTTAATGTACCTCTTTTCACTCGTTGCACTGATGGCCAACACAACTGAAAAACCTCTCCTCTGTTGCCTCCTGTCAAAATTAAGGTCAAGGGTAAGCTGGTCTTCCTTGGGAGAAGGGAAGACCCAGGTCCCAGGGGGCATTCCCACTCCCCTGAGCTTTCTGTGACAACCTGGCCCAGCAGGGATGGGCTTGTTCCACTGTGGCTTGTTCCACTGTATTCTTGGCCAGCTGCAGCCCAGCAGTCCTCCTTGGCTGGTCCTGAGTGCTCCTCTGCTCAGGCAGTGCTCCCCATTGCCTTTACACCCTCCCGTTGCTCTGAAGAAGGACGGCAAGGGGGATCTAAGGGAGGTGCCAGAGTCAATCTCAGACTTCTTAATGTATAGCTTTGTTTTTCAACCAATAGTTCAAATGCTAAGGAGGAAATGCTATATAAGAGGAGCACACACATAAGGAAAACTTTTGTAGGCAAAATATGACAGCACCTGAGGTTTGTTAGCATAAATACCAGAGCATTAGGACACTTAACTCAGAGGAAGGAGAGACTTAACAAGCTATCAAAGCGCTCTGGGTCAATGCAATCTTCTGGGAAATTAGACTGAGAAGATTTAAAAACATAGAGACATACAGGGAGAAGGTCTGCTCACATATTTATGACTAGTTGAATCCTAAGCACCTATGAATCGCTTATTCACAAACAAGTACTAGAACATTTGTTGACCAGGCCTGACA